AGGTTGATCTCTCTCCAAATCCCATACCCGATGCTACTTGAAGTATAGTTAAGGATTAGTTAACCTGAACAAAAGTGTCCACATTCACATGGCTCACTTCTGAGTCACACCCACTACTCTGACTGTTCAAAGTATTTAAAAATGCACATAGCTTGAATACATACTGATTTCCAGTTATCTGGACAACCTTTGAAAATAGTCACATGGCCTTAGCCCAGGGTATTTTGGTAAACACACTCTGATGCCTGGTGAAATAAATAAAACAGAGAAGGATCATGATTTAAACTTCTCAGAGTTCATGACCTCTGTGTCCTATTTAATAAAACAGAGGTCATCCTCCATGTTTGAGATACTTACTCATGTTTGCATCAGTCCTTCTAAAGGAATTTTGTTCATTCTCCATCAATGGAAATTTTTGGTTGAAAATGTTATATTTGCATTACTTATCAAAATGAAGACTTTTTTGGTCTTTTTTTCTGGTGGGTGAGGGTAGCAGGAATGGTGGAGATAATAGCCATCTGGCAATTAGAAGAGCTGACTGTTCCACTAGGTGGCCAAAGGATTTAGAACCTGTAAGACTGCTTTCTTTCCTCTCTGGCTCTGGTCCTCAATCATGGGATAATACTTAAAACAAATCTTAGGGGGACATGATGAGGCTTAATTGGCCAGTATTCTTAAAATGCCTGGCAGAGAGGTCTGGTTGTTATGTAATATGCTCCTTCTCTCTCTCTCTGGGGCTCAAGTTTTCTCCTTGCCACACGAGTGGATGGATTAAACCAGATGTTGTCTGTGTCAATCCTAATTCCAAAGGTCTGTGATATAGAAATGATGGAAACAGCAAACAAGAACATTAGAAGAGTTACTGCACATATATCCACTTATGGAAGGAGACTCATGAACATGATGATAAGTGGAAGACACAAAAGAATACCAAGGAAACTTTTAAAGCTGAAAATAATTACACAGAAATGAAAAAACTCATTGAATGGCTTAACAACAGATTAAATACTGTGGAAGAAAAGATTAGCAAACTTGAAGAAACAGTGACAAAAGCTTTCCAAAATGGAACAAAAAGATAAACAGACTGCCAACAATAACAACAAGAGTACGGCTTCAGTGGGCTGTGGGATATCGAGCGGTCTAACCTATCTATGACTGTACTATCAGAAAGAAAAGAGATTATGGGGCAGAGAACATATTTAAGTTAATAATGGCAAAACTTTTTTACAAATTTGCTGAGAACTATAAACCTATAGAACCACACCAAGGTGCATCATAATCAAATTGCTGGAAATAAGTAATAGAGAGAAAATTGTAAAAGCAGTCAATTTTTTAAAAATGACATATTACACAAAGAGGAAAGCATATTTTTCCTCAGAGACTATGCAAACCGAAGATAATGGAATGACATATTTAAAGTGATGTGATAAAGGCAAAATAAAGACATCTTCAGGCCACTGAAAATGGAGAATTCATCAACAAAAGTCATTCTGCATTGCAAGAAATGTCAAAGGAAGTTACTCAGTAAGAATAAAAATATCAGAAGCTGTATCATATTATTTGAAAGTAGGCTGTGATATATTAGGGATATATATTGTAAATCTAAGAACAATAACAACAGCAACAAGAAAGCAGAATAGTGAGTAAATCATTTGGAACTAGAAAAAATATTAAATCTAAAAACCAGAATTAAAGAACAAATGGGACACATAGAAAGCAAATAAAAATGTGATAAGCAAATGCAGAGTTATCAGTAATTACAATTTATATAAATGGTATAAATACTGTGATTAAAAGACAGTGATTGTTAGACTAGATACTGAAGCAAAATTCATCTATGGGCTATCTACATGAAGCATACCTTAAAGTATGAAGAGTCAGATAAGTCAAAATAAAATAGTAGAAAAAACTCACCATGCAAACAATAATCATAAGAAAGCAAGAATAGTTATACTAATAATAGACTGCAGAACAAAACCAATTGCTATGGATAATGAAAGCCTTTCATAATGATAAGGAGGCAAGTCATCAAGAAGACATAATTATTCTAAATATAGATAGATCATAGGTAGGTAGATAAATAGAGAAACAGAGTTTGAAAACACGTGAAGCATAAACTGCTTCTTTTTGCTTTCAGGAACTGAAAGGAGAAATAGACAAATCCACAAAGTTAGCTGGAGACTGCAACATCCCTCCCTCAGTAATAAATAGAACAAGGAGATGAAAACTTGAGCAACATTAACAACCATCTTGATTTAATGACTTAGCATTACACCCAACAACACAGAAATACACGCTTTTGAGTGCACACAATATATTCACTAAGAGATCATATATTCTTTATTATAGAACAATCTCAAGAAATTAGAAGGACTGAAAATTGTTTAAACTTTTTTATCTGATGCACACTATTTTATTTAAGAATGTGGCTTTCTTTTTTTTTAAATATTTTTTTTATTTATTTGACAGAGAGAGAGAGATCACAAGCAGGCAGAGAGGCAGGCGGCAGGGGTTGGGGGGAGCAGACTCCCTGCTGAGCAGAGAGCCTGAGGTGGGGCTCGATCCCAGGACCCTGAGATTATGACATGTGCTGAAGGCAAAGGCTTAACCCACTGAACCACCCAGGTGCCCCAATTTTCTTTAATTTTCATGCAATCATTTTATACATAAGTTTAAATTTATTTTACAAATAACATGATCATGCATATATTACATTTTTTTAGAATTAGATTATTTCTTGCTCAACATTATCATTTAATATTTGGAATTTTTGAAATTATTATTATTTTTTATTATGTGTTAGTCACCATACAGTACATCACTAGTTTTTGATGGAGTGTTCCAAGATTCATTGTTTACATATAACATCCAGTGTTCCATGCAATACATGTCCTCCTTAAGTTGTTTGAACTTTTTAAGGCAACACACATGCTAAAATGTATTATTTATATAAAAGATGTAATGGAGATCTATTGATACTTGAGACTGGATATTACAACTGGTTTCCATCATCACAATTTTATTTTATTTTCTTAAAGATTTATTTACTTATTTATTTGCCAGAGAGAGAGAGAGAGAACGCACAAGTCGGGGAGCAGCAGGCAGAGGGGGAAGAAGAAGCAGGCTCCCACTGAGCAAGATGCCCAGGCAGGACTCGATCCCAGGACCCTGGGATCATGACGTGAGCTGAAGGTGGACACTTAACTAACTGAGCCACCTAGGTATCCTTCATCACCATTATTTTTAAATGTCTTTCTCAATCCCATATTTCTATTAGGTGTTGATAATAAGCAAATGGTAAAGAAGAGCTCATAAAAATAAAAATGTACTAAAAAATTTAAAAATTAAAAAAAAATTAATTTAAGTGTACCATTGAAAACATAAATGTATATCATCTGTTTTTCTCACTGTTAGGTTTCATATAAGATTTTATTTGGGGCAAAAAGTGTGACACTTAAGTTTTGTAAATGTTTGAAAGCACTGATCAAACTTGCTGATCCAATGCCAACTGGCACATGATACATTTGTTCTATCTAATTTTTGTCAACCATCTGAGAGAATGGAAAGACCAAAATATGACAATAACAATCACACAACACCGCTGGCAGTAGTTTCCACTGAATGCTTGCAAGGGCATTGTCTTAGGTACTTTCATCCATTTGTTTCTCTGAATTTCCTTCCATTTTACAGCTCAGAACACTTACGTAACTTGCCTGAGATCACACCAACAGTCAATGCCAGGGCCATAATTCTAACCCAGTAAAATCATTTCACCATGTAATCTTCCATTTTCAAAGCCCGGGTCAGATAAACTGGCATTAGACACATAAGACCTCATGATTTCCTACTTCAGCACTTTGTGAAGTATTTAATTGGTTCTCTTTTGCCTTGACTTCAAATTTGCCTCTTCACTGGTCTGTCTTCTTTGATAAGTTCATCAAACATCAAGAAGCTTTGTTCATTTTCAAAAAGGATTACAATGATAAGTTTTATAATTAAGAGTATCTCAGCAGAGATTTCCTTTACCACTGTTCTCTTGCCTTTATCTTGTAATTATTAGAGGTGAATTTTCTGATTTTTCAAAAGTGTATTTGCTTTAAATACAAGTCGCAAATGAACTGCTTGTAAAAAATGCCTTTCCCCCTCCTGATCTGTTACGTAAAGGAAATCTCTCTTGCTCTAGCATTTAAAAGCAATAATGATTCAAAATTAAATCACTCAACAAGAACTTGAATAAAATAGCTCAACTTAAAATCTTCAGTGTTTGGGAGACAAGGACTGCTTTCAAACTATCCCAAAGCTAAAATAAGGGGCTGTTTAAGCACCATAACAAATTTGATGTTAAGATGTAAAAACCTGAAGCCAGGCTGGACAATTCAAGGAAATGAAATGAGCAAAATTGCAATGTACCTATGAAAATATCACTTCCATTCATTACCCTACAGCAAAAGGTAAACTCATTTTAAGAATGAAATGACCCAGCATCTCTATAGTCTCTCGCCTTTCGCAAGATGATGTTATTAACATTACCTAATTGTATCTCCCCTCAAACACTATGAGATGGGAATTTTCAAGATTCACAAACAGATGAGTAGAGGTTAGCTGTCTGACATTACTCAAGAGAATTATTATTTATTAAACTGAGTATACTTTATATCTGGGACCTTATTTCATATTCATCAGCTCTTACAGATGAGACATTATTTTTCTCATTTCCAGCTAGGGAACCTGAAGCTCAAAGAGATTAATTGGTGCCCTCCAGATTGCCCAACTATCAAGTATTAGATCTCAGATTATATTAGACTGAGTGATTTGTATCTAGGTCCATCGGACTCCAAGGACATGCTCTTTTCACTGCTCTGCACTCCTTCACTGGATTGGTAATAATATGAAAGACATCACATTCCATCCTAAAATCACTTGTTGCAAACACGAAAGTATCTTAGCGCCCCACTCGGTGATCCCTAGGTACAAATCTTGCAGAATTATGACCAACTCACCGGTTCACCTTCTCCTGAATGGTTACCCCAGGCTGACAAGTCATCAAAGACAAGATGAAGAAAGCAGCAGCAAACATCTCATCCACCCTATGTTACTTAGAATGAATAAAATTATTCAGAGAGCTGGAGTCAAAGATGTCTTCAGACTGGGACTGGTAAGATCAATGTAATGTTTGGAACCAACAGAACTCTCTCAATTCTCATTGAGATGTGGTTAATTAGTGACTAAGGTATTGATTAGCCAAACACCCTAAAATCTCAGACACCAAAGGCCACTGTCCTTCAGACCTTTTGAAAAATAATATCCATATTGTTGAGGAAAGGAGGATTTGCAACCAATACCAGTCTAGCAAAGAGATCTTATTTTCAGAATGAGGCAAAGCCAAATTAAGAGAGAGTCGCAGAATTCACTCGGTCTTTCTGAGTGGCTCTTGGAACTACTAAAGTCAGATCAATTTGCTTTTTAAGACTGAAACAAGGATAACACTGGTGTATCAGCTTGGTCATAAACGGCTGCCCAAATGTAGAAAATGCTAATAGTTACATAAAGGTTCTACAATGTGTTGCCAAACATTGGGAGCCTGAAAGCTGTTGTAAATGAATAGACTTTCTGCTTTTCATCCAGATATTAGATATGAAGACCCAGCATATTTGTGTCTTGAGGGGACCAGATGTCTTCCATAGACATCTTCAGAAACGTTCTTTAGAATTACAGTGACAGCTACACAGCTGCACCAATGATCTCATACGTACATACATTCTCTTACTCTTCCAGACATATTCATAAATTAATTAAATAAGTAGAGATGGAGAGACAGGAATAACTGAACATGTGGCAGGCTTGTCATATGTCTTATTTTACTGAGCCCTCACAAGTCGATGATAGAGGAATGATTAATTTCATTTTGCAGTTGAAGAAATGATAGTTCAGAGAAGTTAAGTAGCTTGCCCAAAGGATGTACAGCCATCTTGATCTCTTTGGGAATATTTAAATTCTCTCATTAGCAGGATGACCTGGTAGCATCATTATTCATCTCAAATAAAGTTATGAAAAATTTTAATGAACAACTTGTATGCTTAAGAAATATTTAGTTGTGGAGATTTTAATAAGGCACTCAGTTGGTTTTGCCTCTATCTTTTCAGACATTTAGGCAAGCATTTGACAGAAGTGGAGACTATTATGGGTCCTAAAAAAACCCCTGATGTCCCTGATTTCTGTGTCTTTCTCGCATGTGTGAAGGAATTTTTGAGTGATGTGAGGAGAAAATCAGAGGCCCACTAAGAGTCTGTAACAGTGATGTCAATGAGGAGTGATCTTGCCCTTGAGAGGACCTTTGGTAACATCCAGAAACATTTATGGTTGTCACAACTTTGGAGATTGTGCTCCCCGCACGCAGTGGGTGCTAAACATCTTAAAAAGCATGGGACAGCACCCCACCCCCGGGCCCAACAAGGGATTATCTGGCCCCAAATGTCAATAGTGTCAAAGTTGGGGAACACCACCCCGCAAAAAACCTGGTCTGCTTTCCCCTGATGCCTGGGATTCTGGGGAACTCATTTTCTTCTTTTTACATGTAGATAACATCATCTTTCTTCCCAGACCAGCTCCTTCTTGAGATTTCCCTGATGGCTTTTCTCTTCACCCAAGACTTTAGTGGCCTTCAGGGCTATTCCTTAACCACTGCTCACCTCTCTCACTCTGCACCCCTCAACATGGTCCCTTAAATTCTGTCATATTTCCTCTGCAATGTTTTTCCTCCAAAGCTTCCCTCCTTCATTCTTACCCTTGGCTCCATTTCATGGCCTGGGGTCTTCCTGAAACTATCACGACAGACTCCTAGTGGGCCTCTGTTTTTCTCCTCAGACTAGACCTGCCTGTGCATTACCACTGGACTCATCATCAAGAAGACAGCTCCTGACAACCTAAATCTCCTGCTCGGAAACCTTCAGTGGCTCTCCCATCGTCTATCTACAAATTCCTCCACACATGGGTCCAAAGCCATCCTTGCAACCTTCATCAACCATCACCCTCAAATTATTCCTGACATTCTCAGCTAGATTCTCTTGACCTTCCTCACACTATTTCACTGCTGTGACTTCGTCCATGCTCGATCCTTACCTGGACTACCTTTATCCATCCTCTTGTACCCTTCTGCCAAGTGTCTTACCAAATAGCATGCCCACCGTGGATCCTTGGCTGATGGTCCCATCTGGAAGGTAACTCCATGTTATCTTTGAACCTTGCAAATATATACCAGCATTTTCCAGTTTTGACTCATACTATGTTTTTCTAGGAGCATGGGGTACATCTCAGTAATGAAAGTTTCTCTAGGGTAAATCCTGTGTCTGATCCTTCTCTGTAATCACCCATATCACTTAACACTGAATCTTTAATAAGAAATAGTATTTGATTGAGTGAATCTGTGAATCAACTAAAGAGAGTTTACTATTCACAGTACTTTCAGGTGTATTTTCTCATTTAATCTTCAAAATAATCTTGTGAGATAAATATTATCCTCAAGAGAATCCTGAGAGAGAGATAGTGAGTAAGAGGGAAAATGGAAACAAGGTAGATAGAGTATCAAGCCCTGTACCTGCCACTTTACATGGTTTTTCAATAATCTTTTTCAATCTATTTAATCTTCACAGTGATCTTCCAAGGCCCGTAGTCATGGTGCTATTTTGAAAATGAGGATATTGATGCTGTCACACAGCTGGTGAATCTCAGAGTCATGGATTGATAATCTTTCCAACTTCAAAACCTGAGACCATTTTTGGGTGTGGTCACACAACTACCATGTGGCATAGCAGGACAGGGCTTGGGTCTTCCAGCTGTAGGTCCTGTTCTCTGTCCATTATGCCTTAGCTCTGAGAATGAGTATCATTTCCCGGGGATGAAGAAAGCAACCCAGAGTGAATGGAGGGATAATCACAGAAGAGAAGCAAGAGAGAAGCTAAATCAAATGAGATTGTGTCATGCCTCTATGACTCCGTGTGTGTGTGTGTGTGTGTGTGTGTGTGTGATGATCTTCTGCCCTTTCGCTGGAGAAACCTACAAAATATTCAACACGACATCAGGCACAATGTCTGCAGACGGTGGGTGAGCAGCCCCAGTCCACTGGCTTTCCTTCCCCGACCTCCTCTCTCCAACCTTGGTGAGACCCAATGTCTGTGATGTTTGTTTTCCCTCCTGATCCTTTCATCAGGCCAGGCAGGGGATGCAGCCAGCAGACAGTCATGGGTTTTCAGCTGGAAATGAAGTGGGGCTGGTTTAAGTAATTGATCTCAAGCAGAGGCTTTATAAGGGGTGGGTTAATGCGCGCCTCCTGCTTCCCACTTCATGTCCAAGCTCTGCATTTGCATTTAAGGGGTGGGATGAGAAGGAGCCGGCATCGGGCTCATTAGCATTGAAATGCAAGACCTTTTCTCAGGTTGGAAGCAGCTCACGCCAAATCTGGGTGGTTCTTTGGGAAATTCAAGAGTGTCCATTTTACACCTGAGCCAATTCCCCAGGCTCCATGGTTGGATCCGCTTTCTTCTCTGTGATGCCTTTCCCCTCCAAGCACAGTGTGAGCCGTACCTCACCTCCATTCCCCCTGCACCCTGGCCACAGCTCCCACCTGGGATTTCTTTTTTTTTTTCCCCCCAAAGATTTTATTTGTTTATTTGACAGAGAGAGATCACAAGTAGGCAGAGAAGCAGGCAGAGAGAAGGGGAAAAGCAGGCTCCCTGCTGAGCAGAGAGGCCAATGCAGGGCTCTATCCCAAGACCCTGAGATCTTGACCTGAGCCCAAGGCAGAGGCATAACCCACTGAGCCACCCAGGCACCCCCTACCTGGGATTTCTGTGAACACCTGGAGACAGGGCTGTGCTGGCCCAGAGTCCGTGTGCAGCAGATGTACGAGTCTGGGAACGGAGCTAGCTTTCCACAGCAGGCCAACCCCACGTGCTCCAGGAACAGGCAGTGAGGGACTGCCGTGTGTACACAGATATTAGAGACAATTCAACGCTCCATTCCTGCCAGCATCCCACTGAGGGATCAAGATAATTTCTGTTCCCCCAGTGCACTGGGAGCTTCAGGAGGACAGGGGCTGGTTTTAAATGACTTGTACCCCAGGGCTGGCACTACTAGATATTCCATACTTGGGTTTTACGAAGCCCAGTAGGAAAACTACAGCTTTCAAGTACAGCATACCTGGATTGAAATCCAAGTGCCACCATTGATCAACTGTGCCACTTTGGACATTCTGCCTTAATTACCCCTCCTGTATAATGGGCTTGATGGTTTCATATATACAAGCATAACAAATATATATATATTGCACACACATCATACCTAACAAATATTCATTATGGATGCCGTTTCTCTTTGTAATCTCCTTACTTCCTGCCCTCTCTGTCATGGCCTGTGCTCCATAAACACCCTCCCGGGGACATTCAGGAGCCTGTTCTCAGCTGGTACTCATGGTGCCATCTGAGAAATTGGTAATGGAGGGAGGGTCACTGAGAGACAGACGCAGTAGACATTCAGGTGTGCCATTTTCCTATATATTTTAGGCATCTTTATGCTATCTAGCCAGGTATTCACTGCTTAACTGATGCTTTGTAAAGATATCGTGACCTCTCAGCCTCAGACCTCAGTGACCAAATGGACTGGTCCATCAGAACATAAGCGCTGGGGGGCTGACCAAGCCCATCTCGTTCACCATCACGTAACAAAGTAGCTGCACATTCTAAGCAATCAGGTATTACATTGGCTCCACTGGGGCTTGGGGTTAGGTACAGGGAAGGGCACTAAACGCCCAGAGATGAGGAGAACGCAGCCCGGCACCCCCGTCACGGTGCATGCCCCAGACTGAGTACCATGGAGATCAACAGGGACCACGCGGGGAACATCCAGAAACAGCTGCTTCCTGCGGTTTAGGCTTTGAAGGAGGCAGGTGGGCAGGAAGAAGTGTCTGCAGACAGAGGAAGGAAGGAAGGAAACAGCATGAGCAAAACCACGCAGATGCAAAAGGGACACCGTCAGCCATCTGGTAAGCAAAAGGACGAAGACCAGGTTGCTCGCTCGCTTGCTTGCTTGCTTGCTTTTTTTCTTTTTTCTTTTTTTTCCTTTTTTTTGGCCGAGATGATTTCAGTTCATTCCATTGCTGAGGATGTGGAGGAGCTCTTGAACAGACTGACG